GGTAAGAGATCACCGTAAGAGCCTGGACCAGCCTCGTCCCAAGGGGGGAAGGGGAGGGTAGGACTCATCACCTCAAGAGCTTGGACCAGCCTCGTGCTCAGGGCTTTTTCCTTAGAAAATGGGAGGAGTGGGAAAGGGCCCTGGGGACAAGGCTGAGCTTGGATCGGACCTGTTGACCAGATGGCCGCGCCTGGTAAAGCGAACGGTAAGCACTGGGGCGAAAATCCATGAGACGCTGTGTAAGCTAAGAATGTCTATGCAAGAGTGGGCAGAGTACGAGTACGTACAAGTCTTGAGCTTTATTTGTTACTCTAAATAAAACGAGGTTAGAGATTGACTGTACTAAGATCGATGTGCGAAAGATTTTCTCAGTAAAAAATATCGATATGATTCAAATAGGATCCAGTTTAAAATAGATGAGACGTTTATATGGTTTACATTTAGATCATTTTATAAAACAAGTGAATTATGACCAAATGATTTAGCTATACATAAAATACTATGCAGCCTTTATCTTCACAACACTGAGCCGCGCCAGAGGGCTGGTAATTAACGTAACTTGGATCAGGTGTGTGAACGCCATCAAAACAAATCCCACAATTCTGTTCGGACGCATGACTCAATTTATACTCCCAGGTTCCTTTCATTGTAAACGTGGTCGAACACAAACTACAGTTAAAAGTAGCTCCTTCAGAATTCTGGGACGCTTTCCAAACGTCTTTTTCGGGGTGATAAAGAACACACCGTTTTCTTCCGTAGTGTGGATCATATTCCTTGTGACAGCGAACGCAATGAACAGTGTCAGCGGTAAACTTGCTTTTCGGAAGTAATGTTCCCAAAGCCATGATGACGTCAGAGTCTTTTGTTTTTAGACTGTGTTTAAGAATACCATGAAGTTTCAAAGGATCAATCGTTTTAAAAACAGCTCTTAACCGATTATATTCCCTTTCCAGTTCGCCTTCTGACAGATCTCCTTTGTGCTCCTTATGCTCTTGATTATTCTTTAGTATGTGATGATAATTGTGGCCGTTTTGAAGAGGCTGAATGCAATCTGGGTATGAGCCGCTCGTACTGCTGTCCGAAAGACTGGAAATAGAGTAAGCTTCAGCTTGAGCTACGTCATAAGCTACGTCATCAGAAGATGACGAAGAATCCATAAAGTGAACTTTCTTTTTCCTTTGTTTGCCACCTAGGAGAATTTCATTGGAGTTTTTCTCGCCATTCATTAGGTACCCACCATTTTTAAACTGCGCATCGTCCGAACTTAATACCATTACCTCAGCAAACTTATCGAAAACAAATTGATCTTCGCTTGTAAAACCGTTTTTCCCTGCAAAGTGAAACTCGTTGTCCTGTAGTTGAGTTTTGTCTAATGAGTCAGTATCACTATGACAATAGTGAATTTCTTTTTGCATCTCATGTTCACATTCGGGACATTGCAGATCTTCCTCGTCATAACTCTCCCCAGGCTCTAGTTCGTCCTCTTCGAACGTTGAGCACGTGGAACACGTTGAGCACGTGGAACAGCTGCATTCCGATCCTGTGTCGTCATCATAATCAGAGTACTCTTCATGGTCGTTGATGAAAGATGAATCACTATGATTATTAATATATCCATGTTCTTCTACGATGTTGCCTTCCATTGCAAATTTAGGTTAATCTGCAGAAACAAGACTTTTCTATTCCCTGTAAAGATAATACGCAAAAAGAATTTATTAACGATCAATTAGCTTTAATTATTACTTTCAACGTTCAAGTTAGTTAGCGATAGAGGAAGGAATCATTTACACCGATTATTATAATCAGTTGAAAGCAAAGGATGGTTGTTCCTGAACCTACAGTACCACACGGCCCAGCCATCCTCAAGTCTTACTGTTGTTGTTAAGTTGTTACCCAAGCAAGTTTAAGTGGATGCTAAGTGAGAAGTAGGTGCTAATCTTGGCTTAGGGGAGGGGTAGGTGGACAGCTTCCCAGAAACGTATAGTATAAAGATCTGTTTATTTAAGGATTTTCGTTTAAATCAGCTATAAATCGAAAGAGGTTTTGGAGTCGCCATGACCCCATATGCATGTTCATGTTCAAAACATTTAGATCAAACCTGTCAAAAAAAAAACACTATCAGCTGAACGACACCGAAACGTCGTTCGATCTTATCGTCTATCTTTAATGGTAAGTTGTTGCTTTTGATAAACAAAACTATCTACAAGAAAATTGTCTGCTAATTGGTTTATGTATAATACCATTATCATTATCGAGTCGGAAAACCTGTGAAATGGCATAATATACATTCTATCGCTCTATTGTCGCTCACAGACGCCATAAAAATGTAACCTTTAACCAACACATTGAAGAGATATTCCATATTGTATTGAGTTTAACAAGTGTGATGTGGATACTTTAGAACTAAAATAACTGATGCATCTACCACTGGAGATGGTTACCATGGCTACACTATCGAGGAACTTTTTCACGGTTTCTTTTTTTCTTTAAATTTTGCAAAAAGGAAGAAAAGTCGATCATGGCCGGCCAGTTTTCGAAGCGGAAGAAAGTTTCAATGAGCAGAAAAACCTTCGCTCTGAAGATTCGCTATCACGAAATGCTATGCGAAGCGCGTTATCTTCTCAATCTTTTCTCGGGGGTAATTTAACTATCAGTAAACTTTCGTATCAACCTAGTTGGTAACACAAAATTCAGTTTATTGTAAAACGTCGCCACTGACGCAACACTAAAATAGAAACCGACGAAACCTCTTCATGCAAATAGACAATGTTATTCCATTAAAATAGCTGACAATTCAATCATTCTGTTCAGTTAATGTCCATGTTCGCTGTCTAAACAATACCTTTAGTTCCTTTGGAAAAAACTAACAAGGCGTTGACTAGTGTTGAGACGTTTGAGTTTATACCTCAATAACGGTGTTAACGTAAAGAAAAACTCCATTAAAATTGGTACCTCGACACAGCCTTGGTATTAAAGCTTCCCTGACGCCTTCCGTTCATTTGCAGTTTGAGAAAGACGGCAAAATGATTTCACAACTTCTTAGCTTTTGGCATGCGTGATCGAATACATTCTCGCAAGCATCCTGCGATCACCAATGAATAAAAATGCCGATAACAGTTCAATATAGCGGTTGTAACGTTCCTACTGGCTAAAGTGTTGCTAATTTAACAAGTCTTCTGATATAAGATAGTAACTGTCAATTTGGTAGGCCCCCAAAACCAGAAGTCTCTATTTTTATATCAAAAATAGCTATTATAATACCCTCTGGCTATATAGTGTAGCGGATCTCGCGCGATCCAGGCATTTTCAGAAACAAAAATAACAATCGCAGTCCAATGTCGTGTTTGATTACATTTCGGACGACTAAAATAGTTCTACGTACACAACACTGATCAAACTACACTTTCATGGCATCTATACGAGATATTACCAATAAAATAAATGTGTTCGAAAATTAGCTAAGTTGTAGTTTTCGTTCACACATTTTCAGTGTTAGCTATCTTTTTAATGAAATCTTTCCCACCTAAGCACAAAACAGACTCGGCGCTTCGACCTGCACACATTAGACTGCCCAATACAGCTCGATTTCTCAGTGTCCGATACAAATGAAGATATTTCTGGCGTCGAATAAATATTTCTAACGTGTAAAGCTCTCAACCGAATACGAAAGTGTCAGAGCCTCTTAAAAACCATTTTGCCCCGATAAAGTCCAGCAGTCTTTTTGAGGTCAGCGATTTCACCCTCGCGTTAGCTTCATGATCATAACGATACACTACTCTTGATGACTGCTAAATTAAACTAATACATCAATGGTATTTGTTTCATTTGAATGCTTTGCCATGAAAATTTAATATTATTATTTATTTATTAATTGCATCGATTTCTCGTGCCAATTTTTATTAACTTTGCGCCAATTACAAGAATACTTCCTGGTACTCAAAATTCATTGTGTTTTACGTCATTTTAGCTCTTTGGCTAACGTAGCCTCGACGTTCTTCGTTACAACTTTTTTTTATCTTTTTTCGGATTGAATCCCGCACAGACTTAATATACCATTTCCGAGTGGCAAAAACTCTCACTTTCAAAACCAGGTTAAGAGCAAAACCTTTCTTGTAAAGATGAGTTTTATTTGAATGAAAATGAAAAATCATTTTCATATCAGTACCTTCGCATTTAGCCTCGCTTTGAAACAGAGGCTTGGAGCAGCCGGGAAATGGCCAATTGACATTTTAACCGATACGGCCGCCATATTGAATTAATTCGATTTAAGCACATTTTCGAGCGCTTTTCGGGACATCTTTTCAGAAAGTTTTCTCAGAATAAGATTGTAATTGGAAAAAAGATCCTTGTGCCGTGTTTGGATGTAATAATCGGATCGCCTTTTTCCCGAGAAATATACAGTGAAAGACCATGATTCTAATACTAAACTAGAAAAAGACTATCATTATTACATCCAAACACGGCACAAGGATCTTTTTCCCCATTACAATCTTCATCTAAGAAAACTTTAAGAAAAAATGTCCCGAAAAGCGCTCGAAAATACAAAGGAAATGTGCTCATACCCTTAATACTCCTTAAATCGAATTAATTCAATATGGCCGCCGTATCGGTAAAAAGGTCTATTGTAGTACAAGAAAAGAAAGTGTCTCTTTCCCACTCTCTATAGTCTCCTAGCGGCAAATAGAGTCCTCTGCGCGCCGGAGAAGAGAGATTGAGTATTTAACATGAATGATCAGTTAACCAAGTTTCCCTTAAAAATAGAAATAAATTAACAAATTAATAGAATAATAATAACGATACTAATCTGCGATACTATGCTTGAAAGGCTCAAGATCCAGAAGAAGACAGCTAGACTTTGTTGACTCAGACCTACAGATTGATAATATTAGACCTGCCCGAATTACGGTAACTTTTTTTAAAGAAATAGGAATTTAGGAATACGAGATTTTTATTCTTTTTAACTTGTTTTCTTTTTAATATCAGAGACGGATTGGTAATGACTTAATTTAAAACTCTGGACTGCCTGCGGGAGTCAAGTGACCTCATCTGAGCCGCAAGGAATGTATTTGTGAAATCGTTATTTACACAGTGACTGCTATTTTTATTATTTATACTATTCTTAATGTTATATAGTGCTTGATTCTTGCTCCAAGTATTTCTGTAAATTTTGTACATATTTTTAAAAGTTGAATAAAATTATTACTTTTTAAATTTAAAAAAAAAAAAAAATAATAATAATAATTAAAAAGAACACTGGAGCGTACTGCTTTTTAAAAGGGTTATGTTATGGTCAGTTTCACAACTCTGTTTAAGGTGAGCTGAAATTTATAAGACTAGGGTGATTCTCAGTCATCTCAGTTCGTATATTAAAATAAAAGAAATATCAAATGATTCCGTCAAAGGGAAAACAGGGAAACAGTGCATAAATGGTGTTCGGTCATATTTTCGACACGGGCGGGAGTTTAACCTTGAAAACGTTGGCCCACTATTTCAGGGTTTTCGTTGATTTCCAATGCGATTTTAAGGTTCTGCATTAATACCAAAATCGAACCAAAAGGTCGTGATAAAGCTCCTTTCAAACAATTTAAATCCGTTTAAGTCTTCAATGAAAGCAAAACCTAAGATAAGTCATGAGAAAGCGGGCCAACTTTCTCAACGTAAACTCGCACGGGAGCACTTGTTACGAATTTAATGCTTAGCTCATTTTGTTTGATTGCGAAAATGACATTGAAAAGAGAAAGGGGGGAAAGAAAATTATAAGATTTCTTTATAAGGGAAAAAGTTCGCTTAGTTGTTTTTTAAAGAATTCCCCTCGATTGATTCAATATTCAGCAGACAAATTCCAGGGGGAATTTGTGCTTGCTGAGAAGGTGGTCTTGTGAGTTGAAGGGTTATCTAAATTTGATGTCTCTAAATACCCTGCGAGCAGTGGTTTCTCCAGGCCGGACGCTACTCTCCCGTAGCAGGCGGTCTGGAGAAACCACTGCTCGCAGGGTAGTCTCTAAAGGAACTTATCTACTAATTTAATGTTGCCTCAGGCGGGGGAGGGGGTCACGTTTTTAGCTTTTGTATGTGCTTCGAAACTAATCACTATTTAGAGCCTCAGGCCATTTCTCATTGTCACTATATTTACAGCTACCATGACTGGTTTAAAACTGATTTAAAAACGCTGGAACTGATTTGTCGACGTTAAATCATTGTTTTGCTGTTTGATAACGAAACGTCGACATAAGAGCAAAAGTTTGAGCTTTCATGCATTTTACAAAGTTTTCTGAAGTGTACAAACGTCGTTGAAGTAATTATAAGTTTCTTCCGCCATGAACTTAGAACCTATCTAGGTTAGACTGGACCGTCTCAAGGAATGGTTAACCATTATATGAAGCAATTATACTGTAACTTTTTTTAAACTTAGCTCATGTTTTTTGGGAATTGTTAGAAATGGAAAACGGGGAAAAAAGGAAAAAGAAGAGACAAAACGAAAAAATTAATAAGATATAATAGGGGAACAGTATGATCAACCCTTTTTGTTTTTTCGCTAATTTGTTCTTTACATCAATCATTCGTCTATGTCGGTTCATGCAGTTGCTCAGTTTCGCCCTGGCTTCCAATATTCTTTAAGATGTCTCTATTTTTATCGCCTACTTAAGCGATCCTTGTGTAAACAGAGACGTCATTGGCAATTAGTTCTCGCACACTGGGCCAGAACGAGCAATTAGCCATCGATTAGCATCCTTTTGCGCAGCAAAGGAACCGCTGGTTTCACTTTCCATCTTTCAAACCGCTTAACCATGCGGGAACCACATTGGAAAAGGCGCGTGCGTCTTTTAACACAGTGAAACTCAAACGTGCTTAATTTATGAAGTAAACATTCTATCGAAAAGCTTAATACTACTTTGTATAGCTGAGTGAGCATCATAGAATTCTGACTCAACATAGCGATGAATATATAAACACTGTTTTTACAGATCATTGGTAAAATATAGAACGTCTCAGTATGGGGTAGAATGGCGGTCGGCAACTGGTTTTGTTTTCGCGTGAATTTTCCAAATAGGCTTTTACCGGTAGGATGTTGCGAACTGACAAGTGCCGTTGTGAATGTTTTGACTTCAGAAAAAAAGTATTCAATAACCAAGTAATTCAATGTAAAAGATCGGCTTCTCTTTAATTATAAATAGCTTTTCGAAATGGCCTTAATTATGGCTGGCCATTGTTTATACAGACAGTCATTTTCTAGAATCCTTGTCATAGTTTCACAAAGGATTGAGCATGGTAGAAAATCACAACTTGTTTGAAGTTAAATATCATGGGTGTTTCATCGCTTTGCCTTTTTGATCACTCACGCCTACAACACCTGTTTACGTTTGATTATGTTATAAGCAAAATACCCCAAGTTAATAAAACGCACCAAACAACACTGAATGATAACTTTGGAGAAGATTTGTTGTTCACAGTGAAACTTAGGCTGGTGTGTGTGTTGTCAAATGACCACTTCATAGCTAAAGCCGGCACACTTCAACTTCGACTCTAATATCCTTAGTTCATAACATTAGTACTAAATACTTACTTGTTCGGCATTTAAAAATTCCCTGTTCACTTTAAGTTAATCGACCCTCTCTAATAAGTTGGCTTCTCTTGGCTGTTGATGTTCCCACAATGAATAATGAAGCAGTGCTCCTTTGATTTTCCTTGTGTTAATGCATACAAGAACTTCCGAATAGGCTTAATACGCCGACGTCTTGGATGCGCTGTCTATTTACCAAACATAAAGCCGATTCGATATTGTAAGCAGTCTAATGGCGTATGTAAACTGACAAAGATTCTTGAAGTTCAAAAATCCTGAAGTGCTGGCATGTCATATAGAAAACACAAATGAGTTTTTAAGCGGTAAAACAGAAGTTTTCCGAGAGCATTGATGTATGTCAAACAGGCCTTTTTCCATCACGTTTTATGACAATAGCAACTATTATATATGTATGTTTATGATGTGTCGTTTTGTTCTCCAAAGATAGCCAGTAGAAATGAAGTAAGAGAACAAAACAAATTAGCACCAAGTCACAGATGCAAATTAAATTTAATTCAATGACTTGTTGATTTGAAATAATGACCAAAACTTATGTGCATAGACAGTAGAATTCAGGTCAAGATGTCATTTTTAAATAACTTTTTAGCCTGAAGTTTTCAGAAGTTCTACCTCCTGCTTGACAAGTTTTCAAACAACGCCAAGCAATGTAACGAAAAAAGACCATAAAATGTTAGTCACAACAAAGGATTTATTAATATAAAACCCTCAAATCACAAAGTTGTCGGAAGATTACTGAAAAAGTCACGGTTAAGCTCTAATCCAAACGTTTTGATTAGCCTTAATTCCAACGTAAATTCGTTAAATTAAAGAATATTTGCCTCGTTTCTTAACTAATCCACTTTTCTTACACAAAGTACCTCAAGTTTATGACGTTAGAAAACAATCAATAAAACTTGTTCAATACAAACATCGGAATTTTGCATCAACTGTGAAAAAAAAATGGCGGTCTTTAATTACAACCTTCCCGTCACGTGAAACAATAGTGTAAACAAACCCGATACGTAAGCCAGTATAGCCGATGGAGTCATTAAATATCCTATAGTAGTGCTGGATTGATGATAGCTTATTGGGTATATGAAGACAGATAGCACTCTATGAAACTTTTAACCAATTGTATTTGTCCACTTTAAAACCACTTGATTGATCGACTGGTGACGATTCGTCGGCCTTTTTGATATTTATAAAAGGAAAGAAAACGTACGGCGTGCCATTCAAGAAATGTCCCAAATTCAGGAAGTTACGTGGATCGATATTAATTGTTTTCGGAGATAAAAGCGTTACTTGTGATTGTTTTGCTAAGTTACGAGGTGGTTGAGATGTTCTTTCAAATGTGCTCATTCAGAGCGTAATAAGAAAAACCCGAGTGTAATAGTTAAACAAAATTATCCCCTATTTCAGTAATTTCAAACATTTGAAAATGTTCAAAGTTTGATAATCGTTAAAAGAAGGAGAAGTGTTCGCTGGGGAATATGCGGACGAGGACAAAGGGGCGAGAGTACGGAACAACAAGGGTAAAAGGCGCGTGCGTCTTTTAACACAGTGAAACTCAAACGTGCTTAATTTATGAAGTAAACATTCTATCGAAAAGCTTAATACTACTTTGTATAGCTGAGTGAGCATCATAGAATTCTGACTCAACATAGCGATGAATATATAAACACTGTTTTTACAGATCATTGGTAAAATATAGAACGTCTCAGTATGGGGTAGAATGGCGGTCGGCAACTGGTTTTGTTTTCGCGTGAATTTTCCAAATAGGCTTTTACCGGTAGGATGTTGCGAACTGACAAGTGCCGTTGTGAATGTTTTGACTTCAGAAAAAAAGTATTCAATAACCAAGTAATTCAATGTAAAAGATCGGCTTCTCTTTAATTATAAATAGCTTTTCGAAATGGCCTTAATTATGGCTGGCCATTGTTTATACAGACAGTCATTTTCTAGAATCCTTGTCATAGTTTCACAAAGGATTGAGCATGGTAGAAAATCACAACTTGTTTGAAGTTAAATATCATGGGTGTTTCATCGCTTTGCCTTTTTGATCACTCACGCCTACAACACCTGTTTACGTTTGATTATGTTATAAGCAAAATACCCCAAGTTAATAAAACGCACCAAACAACACTGAATGATAACTTTGGAGAAGATTTGTTGTTCACAGTGAAACTTAGGCTGGTGTGTGTGTTGTCAAATGACCACTTCATAGCTAAAGCCGGCACACTTCAACTTCGACTCTAATATCCTTAGTTCATAACATTAGTACTAAATACTTACTTGTTCGGCATTTAAAAATTCCCTGTTCACTTTAAGTTAATCGACCCTCTCTAATAAGTTGGCTTCTCTTGGCTGTTGATGTTCCCACAATGAATAATGAAGCAGTGCTCCTTTGATTTTCCTTGTGTTAATGCATACAAGAACTTCCGAATAGGCTTAATACGCCGACGTCTTGGATGCGCTGTCTATTTACCAAACATAAAGCCGATTCGATATTGTAAGCAGTCTAATGGCGTATGTAAACTGACAAAGATTCTTGAAGTTCAAAAATCCTGAAGTGCTGGCATGTCATATAGAAAACACAAATGAGTTTTTAAGCGGTAAAACAGAAGTTTTCCGAGAGCATTGATGTATGTCAAACAGGCCTTTTTCCATCACGTTTTATGACAATAGCAACTATTATATATGTATGTTTATGATGTGTCGTTTTGTTCTCCAAAGATAGCCAGTAGAAATGAAGTAAGAGAACAAAACAAATTAGCACCAAGTCACAGATGCAAATTAAATTTAATTCAATGACTTGCTGATTTGAAATAATGACCAAAACTTATGTGCATAGACAGTGGAATTCAGGTCAAGATGTCATTTTTAAATAACTTTTTTAGCCTGAAGTTGTCAGAAGTTCTACCTCACTGCTTGACAAGTTTTCAAATAACGCCAAGCAATGTAACGAAAAAAGACCACGAAATCTTAGTCACAACAAAGGATTTATTAATATAAAACCCCCAAATCACAAAGTTGTCGGAAGATTACTGAAAAAGTCACGGTTAAAGGGCAACTGTCGCGTAGGACATCATTTTTCGGGAAAACCTTGCAAATGTTTCCCTTATTGTGATACCACCAAGAAATATATCTTAAGCGATCTATTTGGGTCAGAAATCGCAATTGAAAGTGTCCAATTTGCCGCTCACTCGATCTTCCGCCATTAACGCTTCGATTTCATTGATCACGTGACGTTACGTCACAAGTGTGGAACAACAAATGATCTCTAATATGGCCGACTCTAGTTCTTTGAGCGATACCTCTACCTCTTCGTCCGATTATTCAGATATAGAAGAACTTTTAGAATGCGAAGCACCCGAAAGTAGAGGGCAGCCCTTCACAGGGATTCAACCCTGGCGTTTTGAGCCGCCTGGAAGATCTCACGAGGCTGACGAAGTTCGTGAGTCGACTGAAAACATCGAGCCTGCCACGCGTCGCTGCGATCTCGATAGTGAAGAATGGTGAGTGCCCAGATGGTATATAACATTTGTTATGTACAATGCGATCCAAATATCGCTCGATTTCGTCAATGTTATGGATTATCTAAATTGTAAAAGGAAAATGACTAATTAAACACGCACCTTTTTTTTCTGGAAATCGGAGTGTTCATAATTTTGAATGGTTCTCACATGCACAATTGCTCGAAAGCGTAATTTTCCCTTGGAACGGACTGCTCGAAATGATAATCTGGGCAAGTTACTTCAGTGTATTTTTTTACAATTTCTGGTTTAATAGTGGTTTTGCCACAAGCATAGGTTCTTGCCAAAACTACGCTCTCGTAATCTGTTGACTGTAGTAAATATATTTACATTTCTACATCGTTACCCCATTGACAGCTGTTCATGTTCATGTAGTTGTTATACAGTGCACATAACATTTGAAAGGCGCTGTATAGTTTTGTCCTTACAAGTCGTTCACTAATCGTTAATGTGTCTCGTTCTATCAATGAATGTGTCTAACAAGTCATTATTCTAGCTTTTGTGTATCCTGATGTTAAAAAGTTGGTCTTTATGCGCCCATGTGAATATTAACTGCTTGCATAAAGGTTTCTTCTTCTCGGTATATAATATTCGAGGCTGAGACATATCTATAATCACTTATGTTTTTGTCTTGAGCATAATAGTGGTTGTGTAACTTTATTCACAATAATATTGCATTTGATTTGATATAGCCACAGGAACTTGGTTCTTGATTATTTTGTGGTTATGGACATGAGATACTTTAATAAGGCCATAAACATTAAAGTATGAATAAGGCAGTTTGATAAGTTTCAGGTGCAGAATGAAAATGTCAATATTCAACACTTGTCTTTTTGCCTTTCATTAGCCAGACATTCACTTTTGATCATGAAAAAACATAACTGCTATTGATTGTTTGCAAGGTGCTTGTGTGGCTACTGCCAAAAAATGTGGCGGGAGGAGGAAAACATCTGCTGCCAAGAGGTGGATGTTGTAAAGCGTAAAAATTTGGAGGCAGTTGACGTTGAAAATATGGAGGAGCCTCCAAAGTGCATCGTGGAACACCCAGGATTCCAGGCAGTTTGCCTGAATTACTGGGTGTTACAGGCTGCATGGCTGCAATACAAGCAGCAGTATGGTGCCTCGGCATATGAGGGATCAGATCATAAAAAAAGCAGGCACATTGCGTACAGGCAATTGGTAAGGTGGTGCTGGGGCTCCCTTGGAAAGGACATAAGAGTTCCCTTACCATCATGTGCAGTAAACTGCGTACGGGCTCATTTCCAGGAGCCTGAAAGGCTGGATGATGAGATGGAGTATACAGGATTTCAATATGCAGATGAATAAATATAAAATATATTTCAAATAACCCTACTGTCTATAGAATATTATAATGTAATTTTCTCACTTACCATTGGAAGATTGGCGTAGGGATATTTGGTTGCCATGAAAATGGTTGCTACCAGCAAACAAAATGCCCCTTACTCTTAAATATGTAGCATGGAAGTGTCAACAAAGACTGGTAGAACTAGAAAGTTCACTTTCAGACTACATGGTTTTTTAAAGCCCAGTGGTGTGTGGGAAATACATAATTATTCTTTCTATTTGCTCAAGGCTTGTGATTGGATGGTTAATCCTCATTTTAAAAAATAGTATTCTCAATTGACTTGTTTCTATCTTCCATATTACTAAATGATTAGACAACAACGATACACAAAGTTGTTCACAGTTTACAGTCCAACTACTTGAACCAGGGTACTTGGAAGAAGATTATCTAATCATTAATTTTGTTTTGCAATGGACCAATGACATTTATGAATTTTAGAGCTGTTTTCCTGAGAGGTAAGTTGAGTTCAAACTGTTTTAAAGGTTTCAACGTTTGCATTGTTGAAACAAAATTCAGAATCCTCTGTTTTCAAAAACCTTTTTTCTTGGATAGTTTTCTTCCAGGTGTCCAGTTCAAGTGAATACCATATAGCACATGATCATTTTAGTCACAGTAGTGACATAATTTTTGGCCTAAAATAGTTTTTTCAAGCATTCCATACTGAAGGGCATGCTAGTCTTTAGTTGACTAGGCTGGAACGATTGTATCTGCTAATGAAAGAATTTATTGCCTCCTCTCTGTTGGGTCTCTCTATGGATGCAGCAAGTGGTGGTGGGGTATTCACTTGCAGGTTCAACATGTAGGTCTTTAAGGCCCTTGAATTGTCTTCATAGCCGGCAAAGACTTTGGTTATGGTACTTGAGCAATAACCTAAAATAAAAAGGTACGTAATACTGTAGGAGTGAACCTCAAGTTTAGTTATTGAAATGTTTTCATTTAGATGTCATATCTATCTGTGTGCCATGAAATTCACAGGTTACTGTGCTATGTTAAAATCATTTTTACCATAAGCAAATGTGGCTGCAGATAATGGTTGCCTTAACAAATGATCTCAAAAAATACAGAACAGCAATTTAATTTTTATCCTGTGTACAGACCCCCCTCCCCTCAGTAAAAAGCTGACAATGGGCCCCTTCTCCATTTTTTACCAAGGCAGGGGGGGGGACTTTACACAGGCTATGTTATAACTATTTACCCACCATAGGTTGCTTTTGTTTTAACTTCTCTCACTGAATATCCCCCGTGTTTGGCTTTAGGAAACCTGATGGCATAGCGTGGTCTCCCATCTACAGTTACAGCTTGCATCCTGTCAGCATTTTCATTGTAGTGCAGAGCAGAAAGGCACAGTCTGAAAAGTTCATATTTTTAGAGGGGATGGGAAAGAACCATTAGGCTAACTTTAAGTAAAAGGAAAGAGTCCATAGCTTAGAAGAAGAAAATAATACTGAAAAAGAAAAATTAAAGGAAAACAATAGACCAATCTCAAAAGTTTATTATGGTAACTATTAATCCATTAGAGACACAAACCTTGTGTACATCCCCCAGTACGAGAAAGCGGTATGTTTTGGGACGAAGTGTAGATCAAGGCTATGTTTGGCTTCAAGGGCGGAAGTCTGGTACTTAGGGGACAGCTGAGAAATGTCCTTCAGCAGTTGGGGCTTTGTTACCAGCTCCTCGAGCTTGACAGCAGCAGTTGAGCCTGTGAAATTGAGGACCTAGTTGTAGTCAAAATTCCCGCACATAAAGGTGACTGTTTGTAAATGTTTGTATATATGTGCCTTTTTTCTTGTCACGTTATAACGTTTTGTCGTTTTTTTTTAGGGTGGTTCATTTTAATTTCCTGATTAGTGAATTAGTGGACACCTTTTCTGTCCTATAAGCAGTGTTAATGACACTGCCCTTATTCTAATTGAAAGGTTTTCCTTGATTCTGACAGAAAATGTAGCCTTCTATTCTGTAACTTGAGATGGCAATAGAGGAGTTACTGGATGTCATTTTTTTTTTGTCTACAAACCTGGTTGAAGCCAAAGTCTATCCCTTGCTTCTCCCTCTAGTTCACCATGTCCACATTCTTTGTAGAGTTCGCTGCTCTGATTGACGTGAATGTTCTGGATGTGCAGGGGTAACATTTTCCATTTTTCCTGCATCATACGCCCATTCCCATCTGTTATTATCCCCTATTTCAGTAATTTCAAACATTTGAAAATGTTCAAAGTTTGATAATCGTTAAAAGAAGGAGAAGTGTTCGCTGGGGAATATGCGGACGAGGACAAAGGGGCGAGAGTACGGAACAACAAGGGACGGAAACGATACGAAAGATACTGAGCGGAATGGAAAGGGCAGGAGATGACGGAAAGAAAAGCCAAGCGCCCACATTTGCCGGTTGCGTCAATAAATTACAGCATAAGACAATCTTTAGGAAAGAAAAATGACAAGCTTTTCGGTCAGCCTACTATCTCAAGAGAGGACTGACAGGAGACGGGAGCAAGTGTCGAGCGAAAACTGGAGAATACTAGAAGCTTAACTCATGTCTGCTTCAGCATGGAGCGAAATAGCGAAATACCTTAAACTGAATCTTATACCCTCCCCCCCTCCCCCCCAGTTGTAGGCCCACGACCTTGTTCCAAGGTTCTCTCGCCAACCCGAGCAACGAGGTTGGTAGGCCCATTCAACTGTCAACAAAAAATAGATCCCATTATAAGCACCTCCGGATATTAACTCCTCTCCAAAGGTGTAAAATGGATTCCGAAATGCAATTTGATCAGCGTTGCTATCTCTTACTTCGAAGGGCTTTTCATGAGCTCGCTCGGATATGAGTCCCCTCCGTTTACAAGCCGCCCCCAAACCCCTAACGAAGATGTATAAACCCAGGTCCAGACACATTTATATTTATACTCCATATCTCAGTGCTCGACCTAAATAACAGGACTGTATTCAAACCTCCCTGCTGGGCTTAGAAGGAGCCTTGTTCTCCTACTGTTGCATTTACCAGCTGGTTATGAGCATCATGATACGTAGTTCTTTAGCAAAAGAAGACAAATAAAACCACCCACTACAACTTGCTTAATTGTTAAAACACATGTCTGTTCTCTTTATTATGGCATTTTTGGCTCAGTGTTGAGTCTCCAGAATTTTATCAGGTCTTATTATGCTTCCGATGACGATCACATTTGTTATGGAAACCTCTCTACGATGACAAAACCAAAGCCGGCGTCGTAGAGCTGCGAGGTGAATACTGACGGGATCTTCAAAGTTGGTTCTTGGCGATTGGCTCTGCCTGCGACGACGTTGGAAACCCGGCGCTGGTACTCCCTTATATCAGCCTCATAGATATGTGCCACTGCAAAGGTGGCCTGAGTATTAGGCCCTCCTAAGGGGCTAGGGGAGAAGAGATTTTAGACAAAGGGTATGGTTTTGGCGCCGTTTTAGTCTGAAAACGAGAGTATAGACTTAATCCATTTTGGGCTGGAACTCGGGTATGGTTTAAAGAGGGAACTACGCGAGTGTATGAACGTATTGGTAGTTTCAATTCCAAAAGAATAAGAAAGAAAGAGGAATACTAAATGGATTTTAAGGAATCTTTTTTGAAGTAATGATGACATAATTTCTTAGGGGCCAGGTGGTCTGAAAAAGGGTGAGGAAAATGACATTTTTGGCCTGGAATAGTTCAGGACTTAGAGAACCGGACCATGTACCTCCGCAGAATTTAATATGTCTACATTATTACTTTTGCTGATCAGGTCTTTATAGATCCTACGTTCTTCGGCATATTCGTTTGCTGTCCTTTGCAGTCCTGGTTAATATTTGCACCTGCACCAAGAATTCCCAGGGGTACTCCTCGGGGGAAACAATAACAATGCGGTCCGAAACTCTATATTATCAGGAGCTCGAATTCCTCCTAAGTACAAGCACTGACGCGTTATCGCCTGTACGATTCCTTTTTAAGGCTCATCATTTGTATTTTGAATATCTCTCCCCAGTTTCCTCTCGTCCAACATGTCTCTCTTTGGACAAAGCCCACTTGGGATTTTCATAGCAAGGCTTAGGCTTAAACTGATATTCGGGTATAAACCCACGGTAATCAAACCGGGGAGAGTGAGGACATAGTCTATCAAATGGCTCTATTTTGTTAACAGTATACGCGATAGCTCCCGGGGTCCTTTGACGAAACCCGCTTGCTACCAACCACAACTGTCTCATAGCCTTGGGATAAGTTCCATGGAGACTTAAATATTTCATGCAAACATCTTTCGTAAAGAACTTTTGATCTTTGCCCGCACTTTTATGCACTATCCGATGATTGTCCATGAAATATGTCACATTTTTAGAGCTATTTCCCATCCATATGGCAACAGCTTGGTCGCCGTACGGAGAGCAAAGTAGAGTGGAGTTTCTCTTCTCCAAGATTTCCTCGATCAAGTCACGAGTCAACATAAGCCACGCCTCGTCTACGCGGACGATTTTCGGCCTACAGTGGACGAATCCCCAGTATAGAGCTTGTTTGGGCCGGTAGTTCAACTCGTACAGAAGACGATCCAGGCAAAGAAAATGATCATCGTCTATTCGTAGAAAAAAGTCAAACTTGAGTCTTTGAATAGACCATGCTATGGCCTGAAGAAGCCGCTCAGTGAAGGCGACATTATCTGCAGTGAAAAAGGGCAAGGTAGAGAAGACAGAGAACTGCATTATATGAAGAGCGTATATATGACTGGACTACATATGACTAAATTTTTGTATTAGTTGTATTACTCTGAAATGGCAGCTGTCTCACCGAAAAGATCCCGGATTACTAGTCAGGCAACCGAGCTAAAACTCCAGGGTCCGGGACCACATGACTGACAAATTGGGAGTGCGCGGTTTGAATATCAAGCAAGCAAGGGCCTCTCCTAAGGGGTAGTTGTGTTATTGTACGTGGTCCGAATGAATTGTGTTATTCACGTCAATCCATGCAAATCTCCTGGCAGTTTTCGGTCAACTAAGCGAGACGATCCTCGACATTTTTAAATGTGAGTCCCCAAGGGATAAACTTTCTCAAATTCCGCTTCCGGTTTCTGCTGGATTACGTCGTTCGCTTTCCGAGCGTCTAGTGAAGTCTACCCCAGGGCTTACCTTCATGAATTAAGCATTTTATGGTACACGAAAATTTGGGGGGAAATCCCGTGTATGATTGTTACTTTAACGATCCACCAATCAGCCTTAAATTTGGTCATTAATAACGACTGTAATTAACGAAATAAAACGTAATCAGAGTAAAATTTTGCGAGGTTAACAGGCGACTGATCCTGGTAATTTGTTTTTTATTTTTCTATATTTTTTTCCTTTCTTGGAGATAGCTTTTACAGTTATTCCGTAAATCCAAGGTTTAAATAGAGGTGACGTATGTATTTCTGTGTAGGATCT